CAAATGTCTTGACTGTTATCATCTCTTTGAAGCATCTTCTTTCAACTAGTATTTAAAAGCTCAAATTCTCCAACCACGTTTGGTAAAAAAAAAACTTCAACACATTCGTCAATAATATTGTGGTCATTAAAGGAAACATTAATAGGTCATGTTTTTTTTGCAACCAGGGGTGGAGCCAGGATTTTGACTTTGGAGGGGCTGACTTCAATATTCTGAGATATCCAGTGTAAGGTTTTCCAATGGGCGCCACCAATGTATAAAACAAATTTATTGGATTTGAACGCGGAGTTTATTAATAGGTCGGAGCCGCTGATGTGGCTAATAAGTTCGATAAGTTCGAAAGGCTGCCGCTCAAGCAGCCTGCAGGGCAGCACAAGGTGGCAGCCTGCAGGGCAGCACAAGGTGGCAGCCTGCAGGGCAGCACAAGGTGGCAGCCAGCATTTTGCAAGAGCCGGATATCCGGTTATCCCGATTACCGACTTTCCCAAAAATTCAGGGGGGGCTCAGCAACCCCTGTGGCTCCGCCCCTGTTTGCAACGCATCAACGCACATCAAATAGCTGTGCTATGAATGAGGACCATTACCTGAAATGTCACGTATTATATATTTCCCGATTAAGGCCACGGTATTATTGACTCACGTGTTTATTTTTGTTATTCGTGCTTGTGCACCACGACCAATGCAGTACAGTCTCACCAGATAATTTGTTCACTCTTGGTAAAGGTTAAAAATGTGTACCGATTAACAGGTGTGTTGCATATAACATTTAATTATTTTCCACCTGTGTTTGGGATTACCACCTGTCAAGTTTTACCCAGATTGCTATGGATAGTCTAAAAATAAGTAGTATATGTGATGAAAATCAGGTCAGCCCAGATACCCATATACAGCGTCACAGTTCTTACATAGCATGTGTCATGCGTAAGAACTCAGAATATGTTTATAAGGCCACTGCGGGTACAATATGCATATTTGTATTTAGAACAGTGCATTGGTCACCACAGAGTACTGTAAGTAGAGTGTGCCCTTGAAATAATGTGGGTGGATATACCAAGTCCCACTTTACATTTATATGTTTGGGCACCTCTATAAATTAAAAAAACCTGGGGGGAAAATAAAAGAAAACTCCCAAAGCTTGAAAACTTGAATAGTGATCAAAGCAATGGTGACTTGTTCGTCAGCCTGTCCATGCTGGGCAAAAACATCACACGTCAGGCAGACCCAGGTTGATACTATGCTTGTGATTTCAGAATTAGCTCGTGACTTTCATTGCCATTTGTTTACATCATATTAAAATTTGAAATAATATATACAAACAGCCATAGAGTATAAACAACTTTACAAGCTATATAAATGGGCAAAATGTGGTCTTCGCGGGATTAAAAAAAAACAGATATACAAGGGCAAAGCATCCCTGAATTAGGCTTGAATTTTGAGGACACATCTGTAGACCTGGATTTAATTTCTGGCCAAATAGTGTTTGCATGAGCCACAGCTGGGCCTGCCCTAAGCCAATCCAGCCAGATGTGAATGCTGTACCTGCTGTATCTCTGTTGTCAATATCAGTTCTTGCAAAACACAAGTGAATATACAGTACGTGCATTATATTATCCACACCGCAGCTTTCAACGTCTTGCCAACATTTATATACATGAGCGACTATAGATAGTGGCCTGCGCGATGAACACGGCCATTTGAGTTTGATTTCCAGCCATGGCTAAGATCGATGGTGAGTGATATTTTTAACTGACCTTGTGACCCCCTCACCTGATCAGTATGATTTTTATCAAACGACCACCAAGGCATGCGGGGTCCTTCGTCCAAAAGTGGATTGACAAATGATTGCAATGTGTATATATATAATTCGGGATCTTTAATTGAGAGAAACAATGAGATTAAAATAAATGTTTGGCTTGAATTATGAGAAAATATACAATGTTACACTATAGCAAGTCTTAATTAATGTAAGTGGCAATTGGTTAAAAATGTTAATGCCAGCTGCTGCATAGAGTATGCTTTTCGACTGCGATCTCAATTCAAATTTTTTTTCCAGGGATGTGAACCACAATAAGCACCACTAACTGATTTTCCTGCTTGGTCCTGTGGTCGGTTAACAGGTAATGATATATTTTTAATCTGTGCGTCACCGGTGAGAGGTTCCTTATTATATAGATACACTTTATTTTTACCCTTTACCACTACATTTGGTTTTGAAAATGAAAATACAGTAACGCTGTGTGGCATGATTACGGATACATATACAGGTGCCATTCATACATTGAGGCGTATTCATGCATTGGGGCTTGAAATAGATTTCCTTGAAACTTGCGTGATGAATTGCAAGCAACCTTTTTTAATTATTTGTTACAGTAAATCAGAGGGTGGACGCTTGTGTTGCGCCGGAAACGTCGTGATTTATTTTAAGTCTATATTTGCTTTACATTGCTATAGAGGTTGGTTTAATATTAAGTGCAATATACGATTCAAGTTATGGCTTCTTGTGTACTGGTGCTGAGAACTAGGCTTTGTCTCATGTGAAAGCCAATGATTCAATGCCAACTTTTCAGCAATGCTGGCATAGTGCCCCAATGATATGGATTTCTAAATTTCCCCACTATGTTAAATTCATTGCATTCACATGTGATGAGCAATGTTTCAATGCAGCAAAGGTAGCCATAATCAAAATGCATTTGAACAGTGGAACATTAGATTTTCAAGCAAATGGCATTTAGGTATGGTATATTTATAAAAAGGGAGTAGGTTATATGATGCATGTCTGAATGAGTCAGTCCCTCGTGCTGTAGGGAAGGGTGTGTAATGTGACCAACAGGGCTGTACACATTTAGATATTGCAGCTAAATATAATGTACTGCTGGATCACGGGTGACATTGTCTCGCAATCATCTTGAGGCTAATTCCATAATTCCGCTCTATCAATGTTGTTTGCAAAACAGACAAATCAGTACTCATGTGGTAATGCAAGTGGCTGTTGTCGAGCAGTATATGACCTCATGGTAACAACTTATACGATCTCAGAAAATGTCAAATGGCACCTCCCCAAAAACGCACAAGTTTCAACAAAAAGATCCTGTCATTCCAATTCCTTTGAATCACATACGACGTCAGCACTGTAAGGTCAAGGCCTTTTTTTTTACAACGCGTGCAGTATTTAAACAAGGCCCCACTAGCTGTACGCAAGGATAACCCTTGGTTAGATATTGTGGCACATGCCTGTACTTTGGAGATTATTTTGGTGGATGGAACACATATCATCATGTGTAAGACACCAATCTTTAGTCACAAAGGCAATATTACAAAATATTGCAGTCAGGAGGTTTTTATAGATACCTGTATGCTAATGACAGAGCTCTGCTTCTCACATTGAGCTCATGTACCAGTGGCTATTTTAACAACTGGCTTGGAACAATTGAGAAACAATCCTCTCTAATGTTTCATTGTTAAATGCTTTTATTTTCAAAAGAAGATATCAATGCAGGTTTTTTAGTGTAATCTTTACCACAGGTATTAGTTCGCACGTGCCAATCATTGCAATCGCTATTGTACTTAAATTGTACCAGAATTGATTATTGTTTCCTGATTTTCGGATTATGAAAATGGTTACTGATGTACGAGTTATTGTTTAACAACCACGATCAATTATAACTGTTCCTCTACAGCTAGTTACCTGGCAAGGTCTTACTGTGTTCACAATAACCCATAAACTCAATGGGATCTCACCTGGTTGAATAAAGAACATATGTCCCAAAGCCTAACATGGCGCATGAGCATCAATGAATTGGGAGCACTCACGACTTTTCGATCACAACACAAGCGGTCGTCATCAGGCGCCTGATTTTTTGCATTTTCTATCCACGTGACTTTACCGAAAGAACCAAAAAAAAAATGAATTCCTGCAGTCACGAAAGTTTTAAATCAAAATCCACACGTATAATGTTAGTTTAAAAGTCACTACCCATACATTCATTGGATAATGTTCACACATCTGACTCATCAGCAAAATCCAAACAATACATTTAATGTAATATAAAATGCTCTGTAGAAAGGTGCTCAAAACTGTGAAGGCCTCATGAATACACTGTTGGATGAATTGTGGGGGTTATTTGACCATGTATGCCTCTCATGTATCATGTCCACAGTGGTGGACTGCTATGATTTGTGGACATTTCAGCCTAAATTCACATTCGACCAAAACCATGTTTGTTTTTTATTTAAGTTTTGGATGCAAGAGGGGCGTAGTATATTTCAGGACGGTGTTGGGGAGTTGCAGGACCGGTCGAAATACCACTCGCCACTGATGTAGTAATAGCCATTGCCAGCATTGGGACTCTTTTATAATGTCAGTGTGATAACCGTCGTGCCACTACTCCTCAGGATATTTCATAATCACAATATTTATCAATACTGGAGGAATCCGATGATCTACGAAGCTCTTTTTCACAGATGTCCAGTAGTAATCACTGCTCACCACAAATAGCCAGGATTATTCCAACACCAAATCCTTCCTCCAAAAGATACGTTTACATTTTTAGGATGTTTGAAAACGAAATTCCATCAGCGAGAGCTCTGGGCTCCGGCGGTTCCAGCGTTCAAACGGCAATTTTCGCACACATCAATTACTGCGACTTGCAAAGACTGTTGTGTTGTTGCCCGGGTCAAACACGCAGCGCAATGGAACCCGGCTGCTGCTGCTGCTGCTTTGCTTGCTCGTGGGAGGAGAGCGTCGGAGGGAAGGTGGGTGGGGTGCGGTGGATGGAGGGGGGTGCGGGGATGGGGGGGGGTGCGGGGATGGAGGGGGGTGGGGATTGGGAGGGGGTGCGGGGATGGGGTGGGGGTGCGGGGATGGGGTGGGGGTGCGGGGATGGAGGGGGGTGCGGCACTCCTCATCATCATCCTCCTCGGTGACTTCAACGCGCACGGCGTGGTGACGTAACAAGGGAGGCACTGACCAATGAGCGAGGGGGAAAACACACACACGGGCAAATCCACACACACGCGCGCGAAATAAATAATAAAGATAAGAATGTCACGGCGGCTCCTGACTCAGAAGCTCGCTCTCCCCTCCGCCACTCGCGGCAGGGTTCCTTCTGTGATAATATTACCGAACACGGCGATGGTGGTGGTGGTGGTGTAGCGTGCGTGCGTGCGGCGTGTGATGATAGCGATGCTGGCGAAGGTGACGATGGTGCTGGTGTGATCATGGTGATGGGTGGAGGAGGAGGAGCAGCAGCAGCATCAGCAGCATCAGCTCCGTGGCGTGTGCCCCGCGGGGGCCGGGTTTAACTCGGCAGACGGAGAGGGAGCGACCACGGCTGGCCGCCAGCTTTCGTCTCGACGAGTCACGACGCGTCCGGCTGTTTCGACGATCCGGCTCGGGTACCGCGGGTGAGTTGAGTGTCCGGAATACAAAGCGGGGTTTCCCGTGTGCTCCTCCTGTGTATGTGTGTGTGTGTTGATGTGTTCACACGGGGTGGTGAGGATGAATGATACCCCGTGAGAGTTGTGCGTCTTCTGCATCATCACTCATCCTCCGCGGTTCCGCAAATCTGCGCTGTTGTTACTCCATCTGGAGAGAGTTTTTTTTATGGGAGGGGGGGGGGTTTGCCGCATTGATTTTTTTTTTCTGTGTAACTGTTTGCCAGTCCGTTTCTGGCCACAGAAGCTTCCCGTTTCGTCCCCTTGGCTTGCCTTGTTTGTTTTCGTTCCTTTCCACCAGCCAGCCTAGATCTCCAATTGTAACCTAAACCCTAACCCCTAACCCATACGGAGAGGAAAAGCCCTCTACGGATCTGTGGGAGGCGGGTAGGGGTGTGTGGGGGGGGGGGATTGCTAACACGTGAAATGGAAAGGGTGCTCGGCCAGGGAAGGTAATCGTGGTTGTTTGTCGAAAGCAAATCCGTGCTCCGATCGCTTTCGGTCATCGCCGGTCGAGGCTGCCTAATTGCAGGTGGTGGTGGTGGAGGGGGGTCGCATTACTGTTTCACTGCGTGGCCTGGGTTTTTTGTTTTGCTCCCTACAGCCAATTTGTGGCTGTGCTTCGTGGAGTCGTGAAAGAAAAAGAAATTAGTCGGTCACAAACCCCCTCCCCACACCTCCCCCCCCCCTGCAAAAAAAGTATATGATTGTCAACGTTTCGTGCAATGGCCCTTCTTCAGAGCACGTAGGAGGGAGAGAGCCAGAGAGAGAGGCCGTGGCGTGTAAAAGCGACGCGCCCTCCCTGCGTTGCCCATGTGCATGTTGGTTGCGGGGAGCGGTAATGTAGTTGTTAGCGCGCTGCACTACGAACCCCGACCCACCCGAGTTCGATTCCCCGCGTTCACGGCCACCAACACAAGCGACGATTGTCTGAACCGGTCCTGACCCCTCCGCAAGGTCAATTCGGACTCAAATGAGTGCCTGGTGCGGTGTGTAAACATTGCGACTGGGTGACATTTGACCCAATAGACTTAAGCGTATAATTGGGACAATTGTCTTTGTCAGTTATGTGTTTACGGGGCCCGTGGTGACATTTGCATACCCCACGTGTGCAGCCTTTTGAATGTGTAATATGTGTGCTTGGTTAAATGTCTATACAGTATTTTCGCTTTGTATTTGTATTCGTATATGGCCTTTTTTAAATGTATGTACGTGTACTCTGTTCGTTTACTTGGCCTTTTTTTTAAAGTGCATATCTGTGTGTTTAAATGTGTACGTGTCGTGCAAGTACGCATTGGTATGCGAGGTAGGCTCTGTGAAGTGTGCTGCGTGGCTGCGTACAGAGAGAGGCTGTGTATTGTTTTGTGGACGCATGCGAGAGTGGTGTATAAGGTGAGTTGTGCTTTCTACTGTGGATGCATCGTGCTGTTTGATGGGTCTCTGTTGTGTTTACGTGGAATGACGATGTGTGTACGAATGCGTTGTCGGTAGACTGTGTGTTTTTAATGCAAAAGCGGGTAGTTTTACGCATTTTGAGATGTCGTCTATATTAGAATTACATGCGATAACCCATTGATGCGACAGGATCCTCCCCAACATCCACTTCACTGCAGATGGTGTTGGCTTAAGCATCAGCTGGACATTCCTTTGAGAAATGCGCTGGGAATCTAACCAAAACAAACTAGATCAGTGACAGGTTCTTCATAACAGTCTGCCGATAAACCACACGTGTGTGGTTGCATCTGAAATGAGTACATCGTGCAGTGTGCTTTATTGTGTACGTGCATTCCGTCTAAAATGCGCACTTTGTTTTATGTTGCACACGCATCTGTGCTGTATTTTAAATGTCTGTGTGCGTGCGTGCTTTGTTAAATGTCTATACCGTGTGTACACGTTGCCTTTTTAAAGGCGTGTGTGGCTTTCCATTTAAATGTGTGCTTGTGTACTTGGTCTCATGTACTTCGCCCTGCGTCAGCTACTCGCCGCACGAATTCTACAAACGCTAGAAATTGGACGTACTCTTTTTCTTTTATGCAATTGAATGACAATGATAAGGCCATTTATTTACCCAGGAAGGCCAGTTTTTTTTTTATTTCAGGATGGTCCTAACATTGGGATGTTTGGCCATTTCCACTCATGAGTGTTTGGCTCGATGTGGGAGAAAATCAGAGTATCTTGGGAAAACCTACGTATGCAAGAGGATAATGTCCAACACTCTGCATTGAGGTACTGTATTGAAGAGCCCGCTGTTATATTGCCATATTCTTGGTCACCATACAGCCCTAGTTTACAATACCTGATATTTCAAAGGAGGCTGAACAACGCTTAGCTTCGGAGCTCTCACAAGATAACAAAACAACATTATGTGTTTGATCTATTTTAAATAGTTGCATGCGATTGGTGGAGTGTGTGCCTATATTTTTCTTCTTGTAACAAACATGTACGGAATATTGTGCTTGTGATAAAAAAAATACATTGTGTGGGGTTGCATGTGCACCTCGTCTGTGCACGAGTGTGCACAGGAAACGGCCCTCTAAACATACCTACATTGGGCCATTGTTTATCTCCTTCATTTGGACCATTGTTTATCTCCTTTATTTGGGCCAATGCTGGCGAGCATTAGACCAAATGAAGCAGGCCTAGTGAGAGTGCAGCAGCGGTACTTGTGGTGCGTGTGTGCGCGCGTTTTCGTGTGCACGTACGTGAGTGTATACAATGCTTCGCAGCAGAAGGCAACGTCCTCAAAGTGCTTCTTGCCTCCCTGGGGGCTCTCAACAGTGCAATTTAACGGCAGTGGGTGGTGGAGACACAAGGGGGATGGATGGGGCGGATGGGGGGGGGGGGGGTTACTCATCTCTGGGGATTGCAATGCATGGCAGCAGTAAAAACCCACTGTCTTCAGCAAGTGCAGAATTCACATCTGCAAAAAGGACTGCTGCAAATTCATCGCATGCCAACACGAAATGTCTCTTCGGCTTGAGGAGAATTCACACCTGCACCACTCTGGACGCTTGCGACGACGAGGGTGAAGAACAAAATCACCATTTACGAATTCCTTTCTGGTTGCTCGAACGTGCCCGAGATGTACCTGCTGGCGCTGCATACCGACAGCGTGACACGGCCAGCCCCAATAGTGGTGCTTTAAGGCTGCACCCACAATCGGGCACCCCCCACGCCCTGTTTCTTGCCCTTACCGCCACCCACAACGCATCACGACTCCACCACCACGAGCTGCAAGCAAAGCAAGCAGCAGTCTGGCGCAGGTGCCCCAGGCTAACTCGGCACCTCCAGTTGCCTGCATAAAGTGCACTCTACAGGGTTAGACCGGACTCGAGTGTGTGTGTGTGGCCACGTGCATTGTTACGTGGGGAGCGGTGGTGTAGCGGTTAGCGCGCTGCGCTATGAACCTGGCGACCCGAGTTCGATTCCCGCTCACGGCCAACACCAGTGACGATTATCTGAACTGGTCCCGGGCCTCCCCTAGGTCGACTCGGCCTCAAATGAGTACCTGGTGCGGTGTGTAAATATCGCCACTAGGGAGACAAAGGCGGTCGGGCGTGGTGCTGGCCACCCACCACTTGCCCCTACAGCCTGTTAAGGCTATACGGGGGATCTTTATCTTTGTTACGTCGTGATTGGGTCTGTTTTACCAAAAGATCAGTAACCCCGCCGAGGCAGCGTGCAATCACATTTGCACCGAGTAATTCCCAAAGCTGTTGTCAGCAGCTGAGATTTCTGTAGACACCCCACTCTAATACGCGTGCACCTTTTGTGTTTTTGTTTGTTGCATGAGCCCTGTCAACATGGCTTTTATTCTGAGGTGCCAGGCAGTGCTTGCTTAATTAAGCTAATCGCACCGCGTAGTTGAGCCGACATTTACATCCACTTTACATTTATTTTTTGGGATTTATTCGTAGTAAACAAAGAGGCTAGGATTCTGCAAATGTGTAACAAATGTTTTCTTTCAGTGCGTTGAGGGATTAATGAAAACAATTGCATTCTTTCGGCTGAACACCCATCATTGAGCTAAGCAAACAGAGCCGAATTTTTGAACCCTTATGAGAATTTCCGGGGATTCGTTACGCGAGTATTTGGAAGAATGTTAGTTAAGAGAATCTTCTTGTAGAAGCGTGGGGTATGCACCACATTTTTTTAAATGTTTTTTTTCTGCAACATAACTGGTAGAACCGGTTGGTTGCATAAGTATAAAAGCAATACCTGACCTCTGTTTGCAAGTACTCTTCGAAAATGTGTTTGTTTTGTTGTCAGAATTGCACGTAACTGCACAACAGTACTGTATTTATTTCCGGTAGTTGGCGCAAATAGTTGTTGCATTTATTGAATAGCGTGAAAGCATGGCATAGTCAAACCTTTCAGTTCACGACGACCTGTAAATACAGTACTGTTATACGTTTCAACATTTTAAGGTGGGAATACTTGCACAGGCAAGCTACGGCATGCTTCCCAAGCAGGTGTGTTCGCCAAACCTCCACATACATTTCAATGATTAAAATAACGAGTCAATCCCTCCTCGAACGAGCAGTGGTACAATATTTATCTTCATTGGAGTCCAGAGGTGGAAAATACACATGCCCATGGAAAGGGGGGCTATCCTGGTACTCAAGTGGTGATAATCTAATCACCCTCATTAGGGACGATAGGTTGAGTTGACCCCGCTCCCAGATACAATAACAAGTAGACTTGATGACATTAAAAAACATTCATCTTTTTTGCATGCCACAACTGGTCGTGGAAATATATATTACAAGAGTAATTTTGAAAAGGGTGGAGGAGTAAGCAAGTGGAATCATAATATTGTGCAACCAAATCCAATTAATGACATGTGTTTATTACCGTATTGTTTTCTAATTACGGTTATGTAATTACATTAGCCGTGGTTGGTTTTGTGAGTTTTATTTGGGATGTGTTTGGCTTGGTGGGTCGGTTGTCATTTCACTGATTAATACAGTTTACTTGCCATTTGCTGAGGACATGTAAGAAGTGACTGCCAACCATTGGATATGAAGAACTTTAGCTTTAGCTCCACGCCTCCGAGTTCTTGATCAAACATTGCATCCGATCCCAGAAATAAGTCCGCATTATAAATCGAGTTTGTTATAATTATTATTATGATTGTCTGAGCTTTAGTCTGAAAATAAGCACGACGATCTCCAGCAGTGCCTGGCTGTGCCAGCAACTAATTTTGACATCCATGATATTTTGGATAAACAATGGCAGTAATAAATAATTACGTTTTACACGTTTTTTCGTGTATGTTTTCTCATATTCTATTGTAGTCACGTATACACGCTGCATAAATTATAAATGTATTTTTCAGCAATGCCATCTGGTGCTGTCACTGAATAAGGCCCCCTGACCTGAGGGAACACATTGATCTTGTTATGAATTCATTGTCAGAGCTTTTCCTAACGGATCCTAAAGCTTCTTCATTTGAGGGCAATTTTAGCACACGATGGCAGTGGGAGCAATTGTATTAAACATTTGCATACGTCTCTGCAGTTTTGTTGATTCCAGGTTTGCAGTCAACGTAACGTAAAACGTGCGGTGCTTTGTGCTTCTCGTTTTAAACATAAATGTTCTCACAATTGTACGTTATTGCATTAATGTAAAGCATTTATCCATTACTCCGCTCGAGAAGAATAATAATCTTACCATAATAGTAATTTCATTGCTGTGAATGTTCCCGATTTGTTTCATTATACTCCACTGCCCCAAGAATAGTGTTTTTGCAATGTGATTAAACGACACAACTGCATCATTTTTTTTGAACAGTTGTTTCATATATGAATGCAGAAAAAAAATCTATTTGCAATTTTCCAAGGATTGTTGTGCGAGATACATGTCATTTTACAGTGCTGCTCTGGGTGAACACGCTGCATTTTCCATGGTGACATCTGTGAACCCAAAGGCCACTTGGGAAGCCTGCCAGCCTTCAGTATATGTGGACAGTTGTGCTTTTGTTAACTGGACCATACCGTTTGGGGTTACATGTGTGCAAACCATGGTGGAAAAGTCGCAAACAAATTATTGCATAATAACCAGTAATGATCCAGTAACATTACTGCCAAATTGCATGGCAATTCTACTTATTATTGTTACAATTGAGTTGTATTTTTGTGTTTGGTTATGTGCATGCCTGTAATCTTTTTTGAAAAGTGATATTGACTGATAACAAATGGAATAATGATTCCATATTTGCAGTCCAGTGACTGTAACGTATTCATTTTCACCAATTATGTGTTTTTTTTCTTTCATTTTTTCAGATTGAAATATTTCACTGCGATCTATGGACACTTATTTTTGAGAGACAGCAAGTGGACTGGCTGGCTATAATATAAACAAAAAAATGAACATTTAAGGTAACGAGAATAAAAGTGCATATTATCCGACACCATGTCAGGGGTGCAATCTGCAAGCGGCATCCCAAGCACACCACACCCAAAGGTCCGAGCCCTCTATGGCTACGAGTATATTAGCTCGGATGGAAGGGTCATCAAGATGACCGAGGGTGAAGAGTTTTTTCTTCTCAAAAAGGCCAACGAGGACTGGTGGCAAGTGAAACGGCCCACGGAGAGCAAGCCCATATACGTACCAGCGACATACGTAGAGGAGAAGCCCATAGAGCAGTCGCCTGTGCTCAAGACGTTTGGCAAGATTGCGTCATTCAACGGTGCTGGCTCAGGCCTGCGCAACGGAAGCACAGACCAGCCAACGTCGCCCAAGAGCAAGATCGTTGCAACAATTTCACTGCCTCTCAACCCCTATGAGGGCTTTAGGGGCTCCGTCTTGATGCAGGATGACTCGGAATATGCCGAAATTACCTTCAAGGAGGAGGAGGAGACGACACACCTGTCCACAGGATCCTCACAGGTGAGCGCATCACTACAAGCCGTCATCATCGTCAACATTTTATACTGGATTTTTTTTTCCTTACAAACAATTCACTCACTTAAGCACTTCACGTCAACACGTTTATAGGTTCATCTATGATTGTTATAGATCTGGCAGGCATTGTTACGCGAGTGAGACACCTATCATGCATGGATATAAGGTGGTCAATAGATGGCAGTATAGAAAGTAGATTGCTGGCCTATTTACATATTTGATATTTCATGGGACCTCCTTTGCCAGTTCCAAAATATGAGAAGAGGTTTACCCCTTTGTCCTGGCAACAAAACGGGTGTTAAGATGTTAAAACACCAAACTGAAACGTTTTACAAGGAATCATGTCTGCATTAACCACAATACTTGTGGTCAGAATGCAAACATGCATTCAGGAATATCGCTGTGTTTGAAGTAGAGTGTTGTGGTTTAATTTCCACACCATAATATTGCGTTTTTAGTCGGGGTTGGGGGGGGGGGTATCTGACCAGGTGGCTCAAGGGTAGAGCAAGCGGCTTACGGTGTGAAGGTGGCTAATTCAAATTGTGGTTGCGGGTTGACTCGACCAATTATCCCTATTGTGTCACTTTATGGGCAAGTTTACATTGGTTGTGTTATGGATAGACTTGCCCCTGTCATAGGTATGAGGAGTTTTTATCACTGGCTAAAGGCTATATTAACAGGAGATGAGCCATCATCTCAATGCGAATTTGAACTGGAAATCACTTTGGACTCTTTTTGACTACTGTGTTAGGAATTATACATAATTGAAGATGACAAGGGCATGGCTCCTTGAGTCAAACACATGCTTTACTGCTATCAGGGTAAAACACGATTAAACATTTATATCAGGGAGCCTTTTGAAGGGATAATTGCTATGAGCTGAGAGCTGTTTTGGTTGCTGAATGTCTGTCTGTAACCAGCTTTTGTAAAAAAAAATGTGCAATTAAACATGTGAACAGTGCTATCAGGAATATATGCAATTATCTGATAGCATAACATTTTGCAGTATAAATCACATTCTACTTTTGTATGTTTAATAATGAACACGTAGCTCAATGGATTAACCACGATGACTACTTGCAGACATGCAATACATTGAGGAATGGACTTTGATTTAAGGCCTAGTTCCTCCGACGAAGCTTCGAATTTACCATAGCTACTCTTTATATCAGCAGTTCTTTAATCGCGGGCTCACCTCCACAAAAGCCTTTCAAGGGGGAAGAGCAGGCTGTGTGGCAAGGATGCCATACAGGAGAATTGAGAGAAAACACGCTCATGCCGCAGCATTAAACAACCGCCTTACAAATACCACGTTGACTAGAGGCGTGGATCTCTCTTTGTACTGTGGCCCTCATAATGGGGCGGCACGGGGGAGCAGTGGTCTCGACTGGGTGGAGGGGACCATACCAAAAAAGTTTTTCACCGCAATTATGTGACCAGAAATAATAAATGTACTGTTTGCAATAGCCATTTTTTTTCTGCCAAAGCAGGCAAATATAACCTGACATTAATGATTCATTTACTGAAAGAGTGTAAATTTGTCTCACTATTGACACATGGAAAACAAATAGCACAGTGTACAGTACATTTTGTAGAGTTATTACGTGAAGAAAAACACGCAAGCCTCAGAAGATACAAAATAGATGCTTTCCTGAGCTAGCGCCGCTGATATGTATAAAGGCAATTAAATTGTCTATCATGGTAATTTTATTCAGTCCTTGTATTGTTGAATGTATATAATTCGCAAAAGCATACCTCTGCAAATCAGCATTTTAACTCAATCTTTTTCAGAATCTAAGTTTTACTAAAAGCAAAAGCCAACTATGCGATATTCTGAACTATGGAAGGACCATCATTTTGGATCCTAATGAGAAATGTTACGATCTCTTAGCTATCTGGTCTGTCTGTTCTGGACGTTGGCTTAACATTGCCACAGATATAAAGTATTAGATTTAAACAATCGCTGCATTAGATTATGATTTATATTAAACATGCAAACTCGTATTTCTGTAATGTATTATATAATCGTAGAACGTTAAACAACTGTACAATATACATTCAGCGGCTGCAGGTCACACATACAATACTATGAAATCATATTAAACATTGAAAACAAATGTCTGTGTTAATATGGTAATTAAAATCTAAGTGAAAAATAACTAATAACAGCCAATACAGAGTATAATTTTTTTACGACCTTTTCCTGACTTATAGAACACAACTCATGTTTTATACTTATACTTATAAGGGACTTTAAACTTGCAACTACAACCCAAGATTTAATGATTTGTCACAATTTGGATCATGAGTCAATTTAGAAATTATTTGTGTTGGTTTGACTTGTCTAATAATACTCCTATTTGCTTCCTTCTGCTTCTTTTCATTTGCCTAAATGTATAATTTATATGTAACCAGTAGGGAAGAAAAACGAATACATTCTCACAAACTGGATTCTATGTATGCACAATCTCTGGATTTGATTAGAGTGAATGCTTTGATCCAAGCCGACTGCACAGTTCACCAGTCGATTGGCAGGTTGTGTGTGATGAGTAAAAATGTGTCTACTGTAATCCCAGTTCTTCCAAAACATTTGACCAGCATGCAAAAGTGAGCCAAAATCCCCTATAGAGGGGTTCTAGAGCTGCCTCCAGTGGAGACCCTTCTATCAGGAGTGGTATGAACAAGAAATTACAAGATTGCATGTTTACCTTTAACTGCAGTCTCCTCCATTAGTTTGTATTATGCAGTGTGTTGAAGGTTTACATTACTCTATATTAGGTAATGATTAATGTTTTAAAATACATTTATACTGTGCTTTAGATATGTTTTGATGTTTTCGCAGGAGATTACTAGTTTAAATTTGCAGAACTTTTAATGGTTTCATAATGTGATCAACTTTTAGAATAGAAATGCAATTGCAATACTGAACTTTGCCAAGTCCGATCGACTCGCCGATTCTGATCAATTTAATCGGCATTCTTTGAAGTCTAATTTTTTAAATATGATTTGTGTCACGTGATCATATATATAAAAAAACACCAAACCACACACCCTATTCTAAACCAATGCTCTTGATTGATAAATATTTGCCATTTAAATTTACGAGTCACTGGCAGGCAATTAACATAATTGTATGCAGTGTGAAGGTAAAACTAAACAACCTTGCAGCATAAAATGTTTGATTTTCTCAAAAGTTACTTCTCCTAAAACGCAGTAATTGCGTTGACGAAGAACACCGCGTTATGGAAAAATCACGTTATAATAAATAATAAATAATATTGGGTAAAGCACAGTCCGCACGAACACGTGAGATGCGTATGCAGGCTGAACCAAGACCGAGGTGCGTGGGTAGCATCTCGAAGCATCCAGCAGCATCTCGCCTTGTGTGATGCTAGGCCGAGGCAGCCGTACAACTGCTTATTTTTACTCGCACGACGTAGTTCTGTTCACTCGGTGGCATTATATTCAATTCGCATCCGCGTTATAAAAAAGGTGTTCCCTAATACGTTCATCGTGTTATATCCAATTCGCATTATGAAAATGCGCGTTTTCGGAGGACTTTACTTGGAATTGAACCTTAACATGCAAACTGTTTCATTATTAATGTGACCCAGCTATTTATAATATTGTCCTCTGGTACAAAAATACTGACTAGGTCAGATGACCACTTCATTTTGGGAGTGCCCTTCACATGGGAGGTGGCTGGGGTGGCTCAAAGATCAGAACGTAGAGCCTCCCCGAGTGAACCACCCGAGATCCTAGGTTCAAATTAGCGTTTCAGACACCGTGATTAACCGGGTTCTCTCGCGTAGCAAGTTGATGATAGTCTTAGCCTGTTCACCAACGACTGCATACAACAAAAAAAGCTATTTAAATAATGGTTTCGCTGTCCCATGACAAACAATCTCACAGCAGAGTGTGTGGAAATTGGCACCCCACTCCCGTGTAAATTATATAAGGCTCCTTGCAGGATGTTTCAGTTGTCCAGTGAAATATCCTTTTTGCAGCACTTCTCTAACACACGGTTGATGCATTGCACTCCGAGATATCCGAATGGATGTTTTTAGCCATGACAATGCACTGATAGCGCAATTGGTATAAAGTGGAGACAGGACATTATAAAAAAAATTGCCCTTTGTGAAATTGTCATCCTGCATTGGGTTTGTTTGGGCAATTTCACTGAATGCTGTGAACAATCTCTGCCACATGCGAAGGCTGCTGCGCAGTTGTATTTATTTAGGCCACGATTTAGATATTGTGAATGTGCACGGCATACATATCTATTTATTTACATGTTTTGCATTGCATATAAAACATTTATATGTGTACGTCAACTCGTATGCACCTGTTTGGTAACCGTTTCTATGACTTTACTAATCGAAATAACATTGTTTTATTCCCATGTGTTTTTCACCTTGTAGCGCATGCATGTTCTTGTGCAGTGCTATGACAAACGCATGTTGTTGTTCTTTAGTAGAGGAAGATAGGTGGCTAACGGGGCGGCGTTGGACACTAAAACATCCCTGCTGTACAAATCGTAGGACGTTCCAAAGATAACTACAGTACAAGCACGTCCCTGGCTTAATAGAAGCCGCTTCAAGGTTATGCAGTGAAAGCACTGTCTTAAAATAATATGGAATTCTATCGTCTTTACAAGGGGCTGGCTGGGTCCCTCTAGCAGCAGTTGAGGCTGTATTTCGAACTTGCCTCCTCTCAGCCTGCAGAGTGTAGCAGGCCCAGCATGTAAGGCAGGCTATTGAAAGGAATTTGCTGGAGCACCATCGGGTGTTTGGCTAATGAGGTGGTGTTTGATGTCACCAATACGAAAGTGGCTGGCTTTGGCTTTGTATTATTGTTCTATACAACTGAGGTGCCCTGCTTTTAAACATTTGAAACGGAAGAAGATGGGCGACTGACTCAGGGGCCAGAGAACTAAGCTGGCACCACTGAGAGACGGAGTTTGAATCCGGGCAGTGCCCTGGCGA